CCCAGAGGAATGGGCCCCAAGCTCATCCTGGGAGCGTGTCTGTTTTAGTCGGAGAAAAAGCCAGCAGCAGCAACAAAAAATAGGCTTTGATGAAAACAAGTGGAACTCAGCAGCTCAGGAAACCAAATGCAGCTGGTGCAGAGCCCGTTCCTCTGGGTCCTGGTGATTCTGGTTTTCTTTCCTGTCCACCATCCCTGAGCCTGCCGATTAGGCTCTCGCCTCCAACCCTCCAGCAAGAGTTCATCCTTAAGAAAATGCTCACGATTTGAAGTTACAAAATACAAAGTAAAAAGACAAAATCCTGTAGATGGTGGGATTCCAATTTTATAGGACACTTCGTTTCTGTATGCGGGAGTGCAGGTGCATATCCAGCAAAAGGACTGGAAGGAAACACATCAAAATGTTAATGAGGGCTGTCTTTGGGAAGCATTTTTGTATCTTCCTGCTTCTTAAACATTTACGTTTTCCCACACTGAACATGTATTCATCTTTATTGTCTGAAAAATACTGTTAATTTCAAAAGCAGAGGGCCAGCAAAAGGCTCATGCTGTAGGACTCTGTTTATGTGACATTCTGGAAAAGGCAAAACTAGAGGGACAGAAAACAGGTCAGTGGTTGCCAGGAACCTGGGGTGGGGACACAAGGGAATTTTTTGGAGTGATTAAAAATGTTCTGTGTCCTTCTTGTGGTGATTATGTGACTGTGTGTTTTTCAAAACCCATGGAACTACACATGAAAAAGGATAAGTTTTACTGTATATAAATTGTTCCTTAATAAATCAGAGTTTGTTTTTTTTTTTTAAGTTAGAGTGTGGATCATTTCTCCAGTTCTATTATCTCGGGAGAATCCGATAAACATAGGAAGATAATGAGTATTTTGGAGTATACAATTTCGAAAGGAAGACCACAGAAACAAAGACGATTTTCCTACGCCTGTCAGTCTCCCCAAGTTCAGCCTTAGGTGGCTGGGGCTTGAGTTTTGTTTTTCGTTCTTTGCTCCCTTTTTTTAAAAAGTCACTTGAGACCAGGATTTATGTGAAAGACATAGTTTTTCTTGGTATTTAATGAGGTGACTTTAGTATGAATTCAAGTATATGATTTACAACTGGAGTGGTATCTTTATGAAACATTTACATCTGTGACAACACCTAATAAAACTTTTTATTGGAAACATTGCTTGTATAGTTAGAGCAGACTGTCAAAGTAATCCCCCTTGGACCAGACGCATCAGAAACTGATCATTGTTGCTGTTGTCGGTCTTATATCTACATTCAATCAGATGGGGAATCGCGAATAGGACAAGCCAAGGACATCATTTTCTTTATGAAGCTTGCAGTTTTCCTTTACTGCAAGGGACACAACATAAGGACTCTCTTAGAGTAGGAACCTATAGGAGCCCAAAGCTGGCAAGAAATGATGATTATCCATAGAAGGCAAGAGGGAATACCTAGACACAGACCCTCCCTCATACATAAGGACCTGAGAGCTTACTCTATGTACGGCATAGGGACAGGCACTGTGATTCCTGTCCCGAATGACCAGGGTAGGCCCTGTCCAATTCAGTCATGTCATTTAAATGTTTGTAATTGCTTTGTGCTTTATTTAATAGAGAATCAGATCATTGTCCATCATTATGACATTAGCCGCTGTATAACTGAGATAGAATCCAGGGCGCCTGGGTGGCTCAGATGGTTGAGCGTCTGCCTTCGGTTCAGGTCGTGATCTCCAGGTCCTGAGATCGAGCCCCATGTTGGGCTCCCGGTTCAGCAGGGAATCTGCTTCTCCCTCTGCCTTTCCTCCCTGCTCGTGCTCTCTCTCTCTCTCAGATGAATAAATAAAATCTTTAAAAAAACTGAGATAGAATCTAAAGCTACCCTTTGGCTTCTTCCTAAGGTCAGCAACAAGAGAGAGTTCTACCATAATCCATCAATGCTATGGAGAGGCGGTGGGTAACTGGCTCAGTACAGAGAGAAGAGCTGTCCCAGCTCCTTTTTAATTTGCCTGTAAATTCTTCTGTTTCCCCTTACAAGTGGCTCCAAATGCGTGGTACAGAAACTACATGTACAGATGTTTCTGGTTCAAATAAAATCAGTTGAGAACTCACAGAAAAATACTGAGAATCAGGAAATTTCTAAGCGATTGATCCTGGAAAAGGGCATAATGAAAAGGGGGCATGGAGTTCCCCATAGAAAAAAAAAAAAAGCTGGCCGTGTTAGTCTGCTTGATTTATAAACTAGGATTTTGGAGCTCTAGGCCCATCTAGCTAATGGCCCACTGGTCATCCTCACTCGGAGACCCACAGGTACCTCATGCTCAATGGGTCCAAACCTGAACTCCTTCCCTCTCCCTCTCCCCCGACCTGCTCTTCCTGAATGGAGCCACCACTCATCACTCACTCGGGCCAAAACCCTGGTAGTTATCCCGAACGTTCCACTCTCCCTCGTCTCCCACCTCCAAGCAGTCAGGAGGTCTCTCCTAACCTGCTTTGGCTGTTCTCTTACCATCACTGTTGGGCAGTGATGGCTCCATAT